CGTGGCTGATTTCTGTTTCAAATGCCCGGCTTTGACCCCCCATGGTTGGACCTCCAAATCACTGCTACTCACAGACCTCTCTTCCCCTGGAAGGAACCAGGAACTGTCACCCCTGAAATCTCCCCAAATTAATTAAACCCAGGGAGTCACTTGATACTACACTTGCCTGCATTGCTCGAAACCTCCTCCCATGCGCAGTCCTCACATCCCAATGGGACAGTCTCCTCGTAACATTTGCTTCAGGCCTGGTACGGAAGTAGGAGAATAGAGGCAGGCAAACTTCTGGACACTGCTGGCTGCAAACCAAGCTTAGGCCTTACTCTTGCCAACCCGCCTCAGAGAGTTTGCCATCATCTCAATCCCGTTTCTCCCGGGTAGCATCGTCTCCTAGCTGAACCAACAACCCTGCAGACACATGGTGACCTGGAGCCTGCTCGGTGTTGATCCATTGGCACCCAAGTGATTTGGGTGCAGCTAGCAGCGGAGCCCAGCCCGAGCAGCAAGTCCTCTGCGCGCGCGCTTCTTTGCAAACGCAGCTCGAAAAAATTAATTACGGCTGTTGGGCGCACCTGTGCAAACGCCCCTGTCGTCAGCTCTCACTTCGTAATTAATGCTGTTCTTTGAGGGCTTGCTGCCTACCGCGCTCCAGGTTTGCGTGCCCGGTTGTTTGAAGTGTTCATAAGTGATTGCAGTCAATACTTCGGGGCCCTGGCAGAGATCAGAGCCCTGCTGCGCTATGTGCTAAACAGAGAAACAAACTCATCCAGGGACAACACAGGCACAGGTGGGAGAAGGGAGTTATTGGGTAATATTTCCAGCGTCTACGTTATTTAGGGCATGGGCAGTCATATGAATCAAGCGCTTGGAGTCCCAGCCTCATTCAAAGCATTTCTACTTTGGAGTGTGTGAGGCCTCTGCAGGCTGACACCGCTCAACACATGCCAGAGCTGATGGACATTTGACCGTGTTTCCTGCCACGCAAGGCTGGCTTACGTCAGGAGGGCTGAGCAGATCCACAGTGGGATCAGGAATAGATCCGTAGGGTCTCCCTGCTGCTTATCTCCTCCTATTAAAAGACTTAAGTCCCACGTTCAAAAGTGACTTTGGGTCAGATTCAGTATACCCCATAAAGTCACCAAGGGGAAAGCTGGAACCTGATGTTACGTACGTACTCTCCCTGTTCAGTACATGGTGAGAGTTACACACCTCTGAATGGGACCCACTGCAGCCTGGAGCCCTCTTCTGAACTCCTCTGCCTAGAGATGCACAGAACAGGGCTCATGCTTTTCTTTTAAAACATGGCAGCTGGCATCGGTGACACCACTGCCGGCCTTCCTGCTCTGGGGTAATAACCACGTGTCAAGCATTTGCCCTGAAAGCAAGATCCCTGGGTTCAAGTCCATCCTTTGCCACCAACAGGCATCTCCCCCTTGCCCTGCCCCAAAGGCTGGGCTATGCTGGGGTGCGGGGACGCTATTCCACAGGGAAATGCAAGTGCTATGGATCTGTAAAGAGAGAAGGACTGTATATGCGAGAAGAAACACTTGTATGGGAAAGGGTGGTCCTGGGTTCTGGTCCTTATTCTCCAACCCTAATTTGGGGGTTGGGCTAGATGGCTTCTTGAGGCCCCTTCCAACCCTAATTTTCTATGATTCGATGACTGCTTCTGTTTTTACTCCGTGGGCATTTAAGGTAACGTACAGAAACCGTTCTGGGAGCAGGGGCTGGAAGGCAAGACTCGCCCCAGCCCCTTCCAGCAGCTCAGTTGCAGTGTCACGCTGTGTCTGCACCCTCTTTATCCAGTTGGATGAATCCTGCACGGGGGTCCAGTTTAAGCAGGGAGGGAAGCAGACATGGAAACAAGGTGTAAAGGAGACCAAAGGACCCTCCCGAGGTAGAGTCAGATCTTCCAAGTCCTCCTCTAAGCTAAGGCCTTCCCCATGGTCCCAGCATTGGCATGAAGCAGGAACGCTCTCTGAGAGGTGTATCCCCCTTTGCCTCCCCTTGTACCACACCCCAAATACCTTGGGGCGCTAGCACCACAATGGCTCCAGATGAGCCGGGAGGATCTCCCTCCACCTTTGACAAGACTCACTTCTGGGCCCAGACCAAACACACAAGGTTACAACCCAGAGAGGGGTGTTTAAATCTCGGAGGGTTACATGGGAGGCTGGGAGCTGAGCTCTTAAGCCAGGCTGCTCTGCAAGTCTGGGGCCTGATCCTGTGGTTGAATCTGCATGGGCAGGATCCCACCCCTGCATGGATCCCTATGGACTTCATTGCGACTCAGCAGCATCTGTCCACAGGAGCGGGGCATCAGTAATAGCATCTGTGCCTGCGTGGTCATATTATGTTTTCCCCGGTGACTTGGTCTCGCTGAGAGCCATGAGAGCTGTTGGCTGGCTTAGCTCATCAGCACAGCACGGATTAGATTTAACAGGGTCTGGTAGATGGCATTTGTCACAAAAATATGAAAGCGCAGAGGAGCGCGCACAGATAGCAGTTCCAGGGAAGAGACACGGTTGCAGTTTTGAGCAGTAATTGGGGCTTTTGGTGCAGCGAGGGAGGCGTGGGGTCATTATCGTGTGTGCGCGCTCGCTTGTCTGGCCTTGTTAATTAAAACAAATCTCTGCCACTTCCTGCACCATTTGTTCCCAGCCTTTTGAGGATGGATCTGGTACGTGTGAAAGTGCAGGGCTCATTCGAGCTAGGAGCCCTGTGGGGAAAGTGGATGGAAGTCCCTTCCCCCATATCCCCAGGCTCTAACAGTCTCCCTCATACTCCCCACCGGTCTGCCAGGGCCCCTCCAACCCACCCTGCAGCCTCCCTTGCTCTTCCAGGCCCCTCCAGAGCATGATCTGCTCTATTTTTGGGGTGTGGGCAGCACTGCAGGGACCACACCAAGTGCACTGTACCCCTTTTCTTCCTGGTGACAGTGCAGTACTTGCACCTCCTGAGAGGAAAGGCGTGTGTTTCCAAGCTACCGCGCTGCCAAGTTCTCTCTTATTGCTGGATCGCGTCCACCTACAATTCACAGCCGTGATGAGCAGGGCTTGGACCGGTGCAGCTGAAGCATACGGGCCAGGAGAGGCAGCCTGCTATAAACTGGCACCAAGGCAGCCCATCCAGGAGCGAGGAGCTGCTGCGATCAGAAGGTGCAGCGTGGGCCACAGCGCCAAGGAAAGGGGCACCCAGGGCTGCCCTTTGCTTCTGTGTCCAGCAGCCCCCAGACCTCTGCACTGTCCACTGAGGCTAAGCTAGAAGCAATGACCAGCAGGGATGGATGGATGGGCCAATTTTACTAAGGGCTTTGAAACCCCGTGTAAAACTGTGTCTCCTGAGGAATAATACTGCCGCCTGCCTGAAACCACCCACCCCTTCCTGCCTTCTCCCACCAAAAAAATACCACTCCACCAAAAAAATACCACTAGCAAAACCAACCTCGCAACCCACATGCATGTCAAGATGAGGGGCTTTCCGTCCGAGTGAAATGCAGCCACCTCTGGGGTAGAACCAGGCCACTGCTGTAGCATTGCAAAGTCACTCTAGTCTACAATATCTGTCATCTGAGAAGCGAATGTGCAGAAATGTAGCAAAGTGGAACAAGGGAGGCAGGACCCTGGACACCTGGGTTTGCAGCAGGCTTGGTTTAGGGAGAGAAGGGGAGAACTGCAGGAGATTTTTAGTGACTGTCACTGGGCTTGGCTCTTCCAGTTTGAAAGCCATGAATGCAGAAGCTGCCCTGAGCTCTGGAGGTTTGCAGCTTGGGGCCAGGAGGCCTCCCCATGCCCTGGCCCCCAGAGTGCATCCAGGACCATTGGCCGAGGAGGTGTCCTGGGAGCAGGGCTGGCAAGCCCAGTCAAGATGGCAGGATGCGCGTGTGCAAGCCGCTTTCCCGTACTGCAGGCTTTCATTCTCCCCTGACAATTGCCATTGCAAAGCTGCTCGGCTGACGTGCTTCGATAAGGTTTCCTACACACAAGCCCTCCCCCACACCCTGCCAGCCCGGGTGAGCGCAAGCTGCCAGCTTCCAGACTTCTCTCCCCATCCACATCCCTAGTGCCTGGGGGGCCAGAACCCCCCCAAGCTGCGGTAGCAATCACACTGCGTCTGTGAGCCTCTGCCAGGGGACCATGGGGACCAGCTGGAGGGATGCCACATGCAATGCACCAAGCTAAAGCCCCTGTGCTCACCCAGGACTGCCCTTCCTGCAGTGCCAGGGGACCAGCACCTCTCCTGTGCGGGAGCCAGGGCCCCTCTTCAGTCAAGTGATTCACACCCTTCCTGGGGCCCTGCAGTGCCAATCCTGCCGGGGTCTTGGGGTTTGCTTAGAAGGGCACGTGATAAGCTTGGTTTGGGCAGATCTACATGGGGCTGAACTTTCTGCCTTTCACACCGAGTGGCAGGCTTGAACCCAAGTGCAAGCCAAAGTCCTGAATCCTGCCCAGGGCTGGGGGTAAGTCTAGGAGCAAGGCTGCCAGGACTCTGAACATCTGGAGCCAGATGCTTTCTAGGGCAAGGCTGATCTCAGTTACCGCCTGAGCTAGGACTGAGGACGTGGGGGTTCAGTTCTGAGCTTTGCCACCAACCCCCTACTTGGGCAGGTCACTTCAGGGCCTCAGCTCCCCTCTCTAAAGCAGAAGTTACGATCCATCCAGGTTGCATGCACTCAGAGGCAGGGACCACGTCTTGGATGGGACCCAGTGAAGCAAGTAGCAGTCGCATCCTCTTTTGAGGTTTACAGACCAAAGCCCTGGGGAAGTTTCCCTGTGATGGGGCCGCACCATAGAGGTCACTGCCCAACTCCTGCTCCCTTGGTCTTAAAGCAAGTGCCACCAACAGCTCAAAAAGCAATGCCCCTCTGCCATAAGTGCAGGCTTCCTTTCCACGGTCCTGCCTATTCCTCCTGCAGTGCAGAGGGAAGCTCCCTTTGCAGGCCTGGGTGCTGCGCCATGTTGCTGCATGGCAAAACATAACCCACTCCTCTCGTCTCCCCACAGAGCAGACCTCACCCAGGAGTCCCCAAGACGGAGAGCAAGTAGCCGACCATGTTTAACGGGGAGACGAGCTCCTCCTCGGCGCGGAACGTGGTCCGCAGCTCCAGCATCAGTGGCGAGATGTACAACATCGAGAAGAGCAACGGGGGCAACGTCGACTCGGCCAGCATCACCTCCAACAAGAAGAGGCGCTCCAGCCTGGGCGCCAAGATGGTGGCCATCGTGGGGCTGTCGCAATGGAGCAAGAGCACCCTGCAGCTCAACCAGCCAGGTAGGAAGATGGGGCAAGGGGCAGAGCTGGGGCAAGGGGGGGAGGTCCTTGCTCCACATTGTTGGAGTGTGTCGGAGCAGATTCGATTAATCAAGTCTGCTGGGGCATGGCAATTACTGCGCTCCAGCAAACTCCAGTGTCATGTGTATTAGCATCCCTGTGCTGAAAAATGGCAGCGGGGGCATTTAAGTAAAGCTCATTTGACAAGCTTTAGTTAAAGTACCCCCGCCGCCATTTTTCAGCATGGGGACACTGATGCACGTGATGCTCCAGGTGCTTTAATAGAGTGGCTCTCAGAGCCGTTCTAAATTAAAGCACCCCCTCTCCCCCCCAGAGCACACGTACAAATGCCCCTTATAACCGCAGCGAGCACCATTTGGTTCGGTAGTTCCCTTACGGGGCAGTGCGGGCCCATGCTAGCGTTGCATTGCCTTTCCATTTATATCTGGGTTTTCGGGGCACTCTGCAATCTCCAGGCAGGGTCCAATTACCGGGGCCCATCAGTGGAGCTTGGACTGCAGGATGGGAGTTGTGTTGTTGAAGAGTTCGAGAGGAAATTTAGGGCTAAATCCTGAGGTTGGCATCTCTAGGGGGAAGCCCCCTGCTCTGCTCCTACACTGCAGCCAGCACTACAGGACCTTTCTATTGTGCTTTGAGCAACAGGACTAATACCATATTTTCTTGAATAGAAACATGCACCTTACTTTTTTCTCCCTAAAAATCAGATGCTGGAAATTGGGCTGTATATTATAGGAGAGGAGATACAGTCACAGCAGTTTCTTTGGGCTGGGAGAAAGTGAAAGTAACTCTGTACTTGGTGCTCCATGGGGAGAAGAGTGAGCAAGCCAGGTGCCCTACCTGCTGCTACTTAGTTACTTACTATAAAAAAAAAAAAGATTTCCCCCCCCCTTCATTCTGCCCTTCAAAATGAAGGTGCATATTTTATTCTGGAGAACATTGCATGTGAGAAAATATGGTATTTTTGTCTCCCGTTTCTTCTCCTGCCCTCTCCCTTCCCCGAAAAGCTTAGACATTGGAATGGCTTGTTCTAGTCGGGCATTTTCTTTTACATCATGTTGCTCCGGGACAGTAGCAAGGTTGTGACTGTTCATCCCCCAGTCTCAAACCAGTTCCCCCTGCACAGAAAACCTTTACTCCAATTGCAAAAGAGCTCCGTTGCTCCAGGAGAGAGAAGTTGCTAAATTCAGTGGGAGTTTTGCCAAGACACATAGTGAGAACATTTCTCAGGATCTAGCCCCCTTTTCATCTAGCTGTAGTTGCTTCTCACTGAAAATCTAATAGTAAATGTATGTTAAAGGAGGAGGGAGGAAGATAATGCAGAGGGGGGAAAAAAAATGTCAAAATGTTCCGGCTCAGGGAAATTTAAGTGCTTAAAATAGATTTTTTTTTTGTTTGTTTAAAGAAAACTGGAAAGCCCATTTTAGTCCCAGCATTTTCAAGTATTACTTTTTTTTTTTTTTGTAATTTTGGTTCTTCTTGGCATTTCTTGGCTCGGTAAAGAGATGTTATATAAAGAGGAGTTAATTTGGAGCTTGCAAGCCTTGCACGTCGGAGAGGTTTCTGAAGGGTTATAATTATTCCCGAGCCAGGCAAAGAGCATATCCAAAAAAAAAAAAATAAATAAAAATAAAACCCCAACAAAAAAACAAAGCTGGGCAAAGCCCCACCAGGGGACAACAGAGCCCAGGCCTCCTGAAGGGCCTGAGAGGGAAGAGAAACTGGAAAGATTGATCCAATTCATGCACCAAGACAAACAGTCTTGAAGAAGCCAATGCTGATGGCAGCTTCCACCCCCAGAACAGGCAGGGCTGGAGCCATGTGTTCAGGGGGGCTGATGTGCCAAGTTTGTCAGTGCACATGAGTTTCTTACAGAGGGTGCAATGCCTCTTCCGAGGAGGGCTAGCATGACGGTCACCTCCGCACCACCTAGAGACCCATGGACACCCAAAGGTGTTGACGCATCAATAGGTGCTGTGTAGTCATACATTGGGTGAACTCCATCCCATCCTCTGCCCCCAGCCACCTACTTACATGCACATAAAGAGGCCTTCTTGAATGCAGCACTGTTGCCCCTGCAGTTTTGCAAACAATTTATGAGGCTGCAGGAAAAAAAAAAATGGAGCCCTAAAAGAGTTTTCTGGGCCAGCAGATCTAAACCGACAGCAATGGGTCATCCTGTCCAACTCCCAGCCCCCACCTAGACACACATACACAATCCCCTCCAGCACTGCACCCCACCTTCCCCATCTTTTGTACTCAAGTCTCTGTATTTCATAGACATTAGGGCTGGAAGGGACCTCGCAAGGACATCGGGTCCAGCCCCCTGCGCAAGGGGCAGAAAGTCAGCTAGGGTCAAAGGATCCCGGCAAGATAAGCATCCAGATGTTTCTTGGAAGTGTCCAGAGTATTTGCTTGCACCACCTCTGGGGAGTCTATTCCAGGCCCTAGAGACTTGGACAGTAAAGAAGTTTTTCCTTATGTCCCGTCTAAAATGGTCTTGGAGTTTGTGACTGTTGGTCCTGGTCATCCTTTGGGGCGCTCGGGTGTGCATCAGGATCTGGGAGAACATCTGTTCACCACTGATGTACTTATAGGCTGCCACCAAGTCCCTCCTGAGCCTTCGCTTCTCCAGGCTGAAGAGTCCCATGGCTCTCAGACTCTCTTCATAAGGCCTGCTCTCTCGCCCTCCGACCAGGCGCGTGGCTCTCCTCTGGACTCTCTCAAGCTTCTCCACATCCTTCCTGAATTCGATACGTGGCTCCGTGCATGTCCTTTCACAGCTTCTGATGAAGGGAGCTCACACTCACAAAAGCTTATGCTACACATCACTGATTTAGTTAGTCCACACAGTGCAAATCTACCCTGCACAGTGCCAGGAAGGAAAGCCTCTCTGTGGCTGAGCCCAGAGCTCAGCGTCAGCAAACAGACAGCGCGTGCCTGCTTCGCTCCAGCCAGTGTAACACAGATATGCCACTTCCATTAGACCTGCTCCTTCAAGGGGATGATGGGTTGGTACACAGCATCCCCGGTCCCCCGCAGGAGGATGCGATGGGCCCCCCCGGGACGCTGCCCTGAAAATATTGAAGCTTTCAGCACCATGGACAAGCATCAGCGAGGAGGCAGGGAGCCGCTAAGCAGGCAGCAGATGTTCCTGGAGTTCAAGGGAAGGTGCTGGGGCCCGTTCCCATGATATACAGGGGGTGGCGAGAGGGAGGATGAATCATGGAAGACATCACGCCTGGTCTGGCAACAGCATCGCCCTGCACAGCTGCTGCGTGCTGCTTTCACCCCCTCCCGCTTCGGTGTCTCTCCAGGCCAGGCCTCCCCCTCTCCCTCCAGTATCCACTCCAGCAAGGATGGCTCCTCAAAGAGTCATGCCTAAAATTCATCTAAGCCTGGGCCCGAAGCAAATAGAGACCAGCTGCTATTAAATAGAGCCGCTGCCACAGGAAAGTAGGGCTGAAAGAAACCTCCAGGTGTCACCTAGCCCAGCGGTTCCCAAACTCTGACAGATCACATGCCACCAATTTAAAATGATTCAACCTTAAGTGCCACCAGCACTTTTTTGTCACTTCAAGTCATTATAATAAGTCTGTTAATGTGTACTGCTCACGGGGTGTCTGCGTACCGCTGGCGGTACCCAGACTACAGATTGGGAACGGCTGATCTGGTCCAACCCCCTTCTTGAGACAGGATCACCCCAATCCGAACCACCCCATACAAATCCTTGTGTAGTCTATTCATAGACCTACACAGAAATCAATCCCGTCACGCAGCTATGGGGCACGTTGCCTAAAGGCACCAAGAGCAATATAACCCACCCTGTCCTTTCTTCCATTCAGATGGTTGTATAGAAAGGCCCTGGCTTGGGCTCTTAGTGCTGGGTGGGAAGTGGACGGACAAGTGCCCACATCACTAAACCCCCCTCCTACATCTGGCACTAGTTTGACCTCCTAGGTCAACTAAGTGGGACTGAATTCCCACCACTGGGCTTCTAGATCTGAGTCAGGGCGTGCTCATGAGGCACTGTAGGGGAAGTTCACCACACGTGCCAGGTGGCCTTTTTGTCTGGGGCACGCCTGCTCAGCACCTTTCCCCAGCCCTCCTTTTCTTGTTGCTAAGGTTTTGGCTTAAAATACAGAAATTGCAAGACCTTGTGTGTGCAGATTGTGTTCACGTCCCAGGGGTCTGCCCAAGTCGGTTCAGAATAGAAGCGTTCAAAGAGGTCCTCGCGTGCCCACCCTCAGTGCAGTATCCAGACAGCTTGCAATGCTTGATGTGCTCATGTTCACACACCCCTGTGAGGAAAAGAGGCGCTGTTGTCCCAGTTTAGCAGGTGGAGAACCAAGGGCCCAGACAGACTGACATGCCCCAGGTCATATGTGAAGGTTGTGGCAGGGCAGCAGCTTAAATCTGAATTTCCCCCAAGTCCTAGGCTGATGTCCTAACTGGCAGGTCATCTGGGCTGCTTCACAGGGTGGAGGCCACATCAGATTTAATATGACCCAGTAGATAGACATGGGGAAGAATAGGGCATTGGATTAGCAGCCGACGTCTCTGGGGTCCCCCCTCTCCTCCAGCGGCTACTTCCTGCACCTGCGCCAGGGCAGTGCAGCAAGGGGAGCCAGGGGTGAGTCCAGGCCACGCACACAGCTGTGCAGAGGGGAAAAAAAAAGAAAATTACACCCACATGGGGCAACAGTGAGGGCAGCGGAAAGGAGAGGGTAACACACTGCAATGGGAGGGAGGGAAGAAGGGAATTGTGCCCATGCAGTGCAGAAATGGGGGTGGGGGGTGCACAGTCCAGCAAAGCAGTGGGTGTGCAGAGCATTGTGTGCATGCATGGGGAGCATCTGTATGGCTCAGTGACCCAGGGCTCACCTCACCCCTGCTGGTGTGGCCCCCAGTGGCTTCAAACTTGGACAGCCCCGAGTTAGGAGGCCCATCTCACAACCTTGCTCTAAGGGGTTCAAGGCCAA